CCCCCCCCCTCCCTTCCCCCGCCCCTCAGAATTAGCCCAAGTGACGACAACAACAAAACAAGTTGATCAAACTGTTGACGCTTTACTTTCCGCTGAGGTTGCTCAAATGTATAAACTTCAACACGTACGACTTTCAGGTATGCACTAGTACCAATTTACCATCGAAACGAATAAACGAATCGAAAAGAAGGCAATTTGGTCGTCCCAGTGGCGGAATCGAACTTTCGGTCTTCTGCACAAAAATTTCAATATTTACCTTAGCGACATACCCGATAATAACAATACAACAAACAAAAAAAAAAAAAATAGACAATTAACAACTTCATCTCACAGAATTCACCAGTAAACCATAAAAGTGAAAAAAAAAAAAAAAAAACTCGTCTAAATTTCTTTCTAAATTGAACCACGGTATTTTGTCACCGTTGACGACCATGACGGCGTATTTTCCGTACTTTCGTTCCCAGTACAACTCCTTTTTTTGCTCCTTTAATGATCTTTCTTAGTTCCGTCTGAAAAACCATACTGTACTGTGAGGTTGGTCATCAAAACTGTAAAACGAAAATGCTACATGACTAATTTTTTTAAATTTTTAAATACAAAAGTAAAAAATTAATCCTCCCCTCTTCCTAAAAAAAACTATTAAATTTTTTTTTTATTAAGATCCTCCTCCTCCTATTAATTTATTAAGATTTTTTAAGATGATAAGCTACTGGTCATCACGACTGTAATCAACGGATCGAGAAACTGCAATACGGGTAAGCTTCAGAAAATTTTACAACGAATCTTTTTGTGTACTGCCGTTCAAAATACGTCAAAAGGAAAAAAACAGACTGATTTCATGGCAAACATGGAAGGCAAAGGACGTATAATGTGGGCCAGTTTTAACGCTTGTGTGGAAGTTACTCTTTATGGAGCTACGTTGGAGGTGTCATACGATTTTGTGCCACATGAACAATCCTACTACCTTTTCCATCATGACTTATTAGACCAACCTTCACTAAGTTGAAATTTTCGCAATATGGCCGTACCACATTTTACATCCTTCGGACCGTCCGTTTTTTCCAGAGATTACGGCTCGGCCTACCAACGGCCGTAAATCATTTTAACAAACTTATCACACCCTTCGTTTTAACTTCCTAACTCCGACCGGTCCAATTATTTTGGTTTCTTTGAGCAGTCCACTTATTTTGAGATTACGATTCACGATTCGGCCTTCCAACGGCCGCAATTTATTATAACGCTGGGTAACCACAAGTTACGTTACTAGTTATGTTGAAATTACGCTGGATGGAGTTAATTTAGTGCATCAAACTCAAAACCAAGCAAAATTCAAAAGTTTCTAGCCACTCCGATGATACGAAGGTGGCCTAAAACACGGATATTCAAAGTAACAAAATTTCTAACTAACATTTTCCCCAATTTTCAGTTTTCGAAGGCAGTCTTTAACAAAAAAAAACACATCTGCTTCTTGAACTAATGCACTTACGTTTTGCCCTTTGCGCTTGCGCAGCGGTATATAAGTGTACGGTTCGTACTTTTCACCTTTTCTTCTCGCATCACCTGGGCCCCTTTTTTGTTTCAACGACGAAGCACCCTGCTTCTTCTTCGCTGAGAACCGGGCTTTTGATGAGGCATCAGTGTAATTTTCTCTGCGTTTACCTTTTTCACTCCGTCCACTTTTTTTGCTCACTAATGTCTGAAAATTTTAACAAAAACCATTAGATGGAAAATCATACCAATTTTTAGAAAATCTTTAGAACCCCTTCCCCCCCCCCCCCCCCCCCCCCC